GCAGACAGCCCTAGTGTGCTTTGCCGTAATTAAATGCACCACCGCACCATTTTTAACTAAAATTTAAGTTACAAAAAATCATCGCCAGTAAATAAAACTTAATCTTATATTAAAAAAGCTCTCTCATCTCGATCCTCTCCCTTATCAATTAACTGACTGCAGGTTGCGTCTAACACCCCCTGAGGGCTTGCTGTGCACTCCGACTGCAAGTTAGAGATCCTGGTGCTCAAACGGTGCTCTCCTGCTGCACATATGTGATTCTTGATATAAAGATGCTGACATTTTCTATAAATGTACATGAATTTTGTAGCAATTACCAAATCTAAATTTTTATCTGACCGACGTAAAGCTATAGCTAGTAAAAGTTTCAATTCATTGCAAAATATAAAACATAAGACATATGACAGACCTACGACAAAAACTGAATAAGATTTTTAATTTTCAAATTTGAGACTACGTGTAAGAGCCGTAAATGAGGTTAAGCAAGTCTTTGAATTTCTACATAAATAAAAATAACAAAGTAATTTAGAAAAAAAGTCTCTATAAAAAGTCTCAACGGTAAGAAGGTCCCAACGTTACCGTAAGACTAAAAGGTCTCAACGGTATATAGAGCCATCGAATTTTGAATGCCGTAATCCTACTGCGAATATGGGCATGTGGAAACCGAAATTTGAAATTTGGAATTTGTTTTATTATCGATTTCATATTTTGTAAAGCTTTAACGAATTTTTGAGTAGCAAACTGAACGATTTGAAAGCGAGCAATGGTAACACTCTACGAGGAGGGGGGGGGGGGGAAACCTGTTTATCTCCAGTGCGCGGAACTGTCTGGAAATTCTAAAGATATGCTCATTTTAAAATTGTTTTGCGATATTGCTGTTAAATTGAATTTTATAGTTTAAGTGCAAAGAACATTTAATAAATAAAGGTAACACACAAAAGGTTAAAAAAAAGTTCCTTTTAGGCGTAATGTAAAATCCGAAAGATTTCCGATTTTTCTTCTTTTCTTTTTATAATATGAATTCAAGATTATAAAACTGCATGAGAAATATTAATAACGCAGTTTTAGCATTCGAAAATCTACGTATTACTTGGATGAAAATTCCTTCAACAAATATTGTTTGTTGTTGACTAACGCTCGCTTGTCTGACTTACAATCAGCCCAAGCCCTTGAAATTCCTCTTGGCAAGCAGCGCAAGATTACGCCTGTGAGCACCTTACAGGTGACAGTGCGACTTAGCTCAGTTCCGCCCCCAATTTTGATGGACAGCACCTCAAGATGACGGGTACGCATATTTAGAGTGCCCTCATACCGCATCGACACTATACATTTATAAACATCCATGCCTTCTCCGTGATTCGAACCCGGGTCCTTTGCCACTGCAGCCAGCGACGCTAACCACTATACTGGTTGGACGGTTTCAACAAATGCCACACAGTTATCAAATACAAAATACTGCGCACTAGTCAAGCACAAAATATAACATAATGATATTAATGAGAGCCCACCAGAGCGGTCGAGCGATACAGTCGCTCATTGGCAGTTGAGTCCGAGCTTCAAATCTCGCGAATGGGCACTTTCGGGGCTTTCCCCATGTGTAACATATATACGAGTCAAGTTCCCTTAGAATGTCCTCCATGAAGGCATCCCACCCTTAAGACAGATAGCCCTCGAGGCTTTGCCGTAATTAAATAAACCAAACCAAGAATATTAAAGGGGAAAAGGTCAATCTCAAGTCATTCCTATTTATTTTAACCGACTTCTCAAAAGTGCTAAAAAAAAGAAAATGTAGAAAATTTCAAATTTTTTAATTAAATTTTTCGTTCAGTTTTTATCATATATGAGTCGAGCGTTTGGGGTTTCGTTTTTAATAACAGGTTTAAAGTCTTACTAAATGTAACTACAACGATAGAACAACACTATCAAAAATAGATTTCCTAATTTCTACGAAACTGTTATTATACATTTGAGTATGAGTGGCATTTTGTGATTCATATAGTATAAAATATAAAGGAAAATATTTGAATATTCACGTATATATCAAAACACGCGGGAATTTTAGCTTCATCTTAAAATATTTTCGCAATGGGGAATGTATATTTATGACCTCCAAGAAATAAGGAACGTTACAAGAACTTGGATTGAAACGATATATATTAGCTGATTTGTTTCTTGATATTTACATTCTGCTGTTGATAAAAATTTCAATGTATTTCTTTGAGCTATTCTTAGTATGTATAATTCACCCTTTCTTGACTGGACTGAAATGTATTGTTATTTGTTGATATACTATATATTTCACATGTGTTTTTTTTTTTTTTTTTTTTTTTTTTTTTTTTTTTTAAATATTCTGTCATCCCATTTCTCTTAGGATTCTCTTCCTCGGGAAAACAGTATTATATTTCCAATAAAACTCTCTTTCTACTCTGTTCTCAAGCTGTTTGATGCACATATGAATTTCAGTTCCGTTTTATAGTGTTCTTAAATATAAATCTGAATATATAACAGAGCAAAATACTTGTATTTTATTATACATGTATTTTCCAAGTTATGCTAGTATAAATAATCCTTTTCGAGGTATCTATTTTTCAAAACAAAATACATTTTAATGTTTCGATTTCTGTCTGGACTTTTTTGTGTGTCTTTTTTCTTGTCTGAGTAGTCAAATTTTTCTTTTGTATTATTTGATTCTCAAAATATAAGAGCAAAGCTAATGCAAAAATTTTATTCAGTAATATGGAATTCTCGCCTTTTCCTTTGCTTATTCTTGTAGTGCAATTGGTACCAAGTCCAACTGGCAGTCGAAAGTTCCGTGGTTCGAATACCGGCTACAGGCGCAGTTGGTTTTGCTGTTTCCTCTTCAAAAATAAATAAATAAATAAATAAAAAATCGCTGTAATGGAATCCAAATTAAAGGTGATAGACGATAATTCTTCACCACTTGGATTTGGTCAACGGGTCTCTGACTAGCTCAAGAGTCCTTTAAGTGAGAAAGTGCTTATGTAAAGAATTATAACTTTTTTACGTGCACAGTTCCTTGGTGTAAGCAGTTAGCATGACCACCTGGTAACTAGCAGATATTTAACTGGAATCTCAGCAAAGACGTTATGTTAAGCCGTGAAAAATTAAACAGACGTCAAGTTAAGAAATACAAAATTGAAAAGAAACTTTATGTGTTAAAGAGTACAAAATTCAAAAGAAACATCGTGCTAAGCAATACAAAATTCAAACGAAACCTCATGTTAAGTATTGTAAAATTCAAAATGCCTAATGTTAAGCAATATAAAACTCGGCCAAAAAACTTTCAACGATGTAAAAATAAATCAAAAAGCAATTTAAAAGCCATGCTTTTTAATTCCAAAACGTAATATTTCTAATAAAATATCTCTGTCTCATATATCTAGTAAAATATCTCTATTTCATATCTCTAATAAAAACAATATAATATATTTGTCAAAAGGACAGCAATCGCCCTCTTAATTCGGTCTCTTTTTTTTAATGCTTAGCGAAACAGCAATTAAATTTGCTTAACCGTAAAATAATTTTCACCTTTATGATAAATGTGTTTACTACATGATTTTTTTTCACGTTTTTAACTCTGAAAATGCTAATCATCCCAAAATTATATGTGAAGGCCGATAAACAGTTACCGCTTAAATTTGGTAGACTGGTTCTTATACCTCTCTCCAGTCGCCCATTAAAAAAATGAGGAAAATACGAATTAACGTATTCCCCTTTCCTGCTGTCATAATGTGGCTGGTTAGCATATTTCGAAGCAAGTGAAGGCTTCAAGGCTCAAATACACGATTTGACCTTTGGCGAGCTATTGAGCCATTTGATAAACGAGTACGCAAATGAGTTTATACGCACAGTACTAAACGGTACAGCATGCTTATTATTTATTTATCCTATTTCCTATTTAAGACATTTTATGGAAAAGGTCCGTGAACTGAAATATTTCAAAAGTTTAACTAAAGGAATTCCTACCTCACCCTGCATAACCGTTTTCAAATATGATACATTAAATTAAATTTGCATATCTTACCATTAAAATTCGAAGGCAATTGCTGTTCACATTATTAAGTTGATCTGCAGATAGGTTTGATTTGTTCTGCTAAAATAGGAATAAAAATATTCGTTAAATGCGGACTCTTATTTTAAGAGTTTCCCACACTTTAACTTAGATAAGGTAACCAAAAAAATTCTTGCCGTTTCTGATATGACATTGGAAGAGTTACCCCCCAACATAAAATTAGTCAGCTCCAACATAAAAATAGTCGCCAAACCTGGCGAGCAATTACGGGAAAGCACACTAGGGCTATCTGCCTAAGGGGAGGGATGCCTTGGTGGAGGACTTTCTAAGGGAACTGGCTCGTATACACGTTACACATGGGGAAAACCACGAAAACACCCATGCAGCCAGCCCGTTCGCGGGATCCGAACCTCGGACCAAACTACCAGTGTTCAGCGACTTTACCGCTCGACCGCTGGTGGGCGGATGGGAGTTCGGACATAGACCAAGAGTATAAAATCGCGTTGCATCGGTAATTGGTAGCTGTTTATACTTCCAATGCATCTGATTTTGATTGAAGTTCTTCTGTAGCTTGAATATTATTCTTGGAGATTGATAAAACTAATGCTGTGAGATTTCTCGCATTGTGATGATATAGTAGTGTTGTAAATAGGTTGCTTAGGTTGTTGGTGAGTTGCTGTAGTGTATTGCGTTGAATAGTTTTATTAAAACTGTGTTGTATAGTTGTATTGTATTGTGTTGTATTTAGCACTATTGATTGAGGTTGTTTAGTTGTATTTGAATTTGTCATTGGAACTATTGCTGTATGTATCTTCTCATATTGTTGTCATTGATTTGTAATGTCTTGGGTCCTCCTTGAAAGCTGTGATCGCTCGTCACGTTTTGCGTACTTATCCGATTGGATTGTCTTGCTCCTTTTGGTACTTCTCTTCTTCCCATTTTCTCCGTTTTCTCATCTGAGATTTTCTTCACGTCCGGATTTCTTTATGTCAAGGTGCCCTTGGGCTTTATTTCTGGAACCGGCAACATTGCTCTTCGCAATAGCTCGGTCAATTATAGAGTCTAAGTCTTCAAACATAGCTCACACAGCGGCTGATTGATGAAGGCGTCAAAGGCGCTCGTTCGGAGTTGTTTGCTGTATGATTTTAAAGTGGATCTGTCAGCAGCAGAATCAAGTCGCCGAATTTACCAGGCCTTTGGAGATGATACCGTTAACGAACAAACAGCTAGGCAATGTTCAGGTAGACCTCGCGTACAAGTCCTTAGATCTCGAGCCAACCAGACTACAACCTTTTACATTTCCTGGACAACACCTTCCTGGGAATCCTTCAACAATCGGCCAGACCTCGAAAAGGCCGTCACGGTCTTCTTTGCGTCCAAGACTTCTGAGTTTTACCAAGATGGCATCGCACAGCTAGCCAATCGTTAGCAAAAGACACTGTATGCGATGCTGATTACTTTGAAGATTAGAGGTGATTATTTATTTGTTTTATGACTTTTTCTTTCTGACTGTCCAAAACGGCAAGAACGTTTTTGATTACCTCGTAATATGTACATTAACTTAATTCCGAACTGTTAAAGTGCAGATGTTTGTTCTTGTCTTTTTCTTTCCATATTCTTGAAAAATAAAGCAATCCCATCATAATTTACAGTGTTTCAGAACATATAACTGTAAATCAAAACGTGCCACAGATAGCTGTTCTTACCGTAAACTTCATTCAGAACGTCACCAATTATTAGCTTGCACTGTTAAGAAAGCATAACTTATTTTTGTAAATTCATTCCTGAAATATAAGCAATTTAACTGGTTTTTGGGGGGTTAACTTGTTTTTTGGTTTTGGGGGTTTTTTAGATTCTTTTTTCATCGATTAATTCTATTAGTTAATCTATATATTAACCTATAGTTCTATTCTCCTAGTTGATTAATTCTCTCAACTTGATTCTTTAGCTGCAAAAAAGTAAATAAATAGCAGTGTGTTTCAATAATTGTGAGTAGTCATTATTTACAATTTGCTGATTGTTAGAGCACATTAATTGGTATAAATATTACTGTGTTTTAACAATTGCTTATATATTTTAATTTTATAATCTGTGGTTTATGATATAACTGATATTATCTGTGTAGTCTGCGGATTATTTTATTACTTATAACCTTACGGAATAAAAGTATAGCTTGTTTTTAGTAGTAATACCTAATACTATTGTTATATTAAAATATTAATATGGATTTTAGTTTTGTAGAATTCTCAGATTAATATCATGTGGTTTTACAAAATGTATTAAGAGTTCTAATAATTTTTCTCTTTTCACATAAATACTTTTTCACATAAATTGCCTATAATTTTTAAATATTAATTTTCTAAAAGCGTTTTCCATAATATTGTAATAGTTGTGTCAGTGGCAGTCCGAAATCAAAATATGAATTTTTGAATTCGAATTCTGCGTAGGGATTGGCGGTCTGTGTTGTCTTCCTTTCCCTACTTCATGGGTTTAGTTTAGTTTAGTTTAGTTTAGTGACGGAGGACGTGGGCACCATCCCTTTACCGTTATGGTTAATTGGTAATAGCACCACGTCCACCCTTATCTAGAGACTAGTGGGACTACAGGTCATACTTTACAGCACTTACGATATCGTACAATATAAATAAACCATACAAATTCCTACATATGCATGATACAGTATATAATCAAACAGGATTATTAAAGCATAATGCTGGTGCGTATACAGTTAAAATGCAAAAGTTAAGATGTAAAATACTAAGTATCGATTTAAGTTATATGACTAAATAATATTATATTATTCATGCATAAAAACCTTAAAAAAATAAAGAAAGAAAGAAAATTAAAAAAAAAATACAATATCCTACATATGCATGATACAGTATATAATCAAACAGGATTATTAAAACATAATGCTGGTGCGTGTTACAGTTAAAATGCAAAAGGTTAATTTTTAAAATGCAAAATACTAAGTCAATTAATATATGATTAAATATTATATATTATTCATACATAAAAACATTCAAAAAAATAAAATAAAATAAATAATAAATAAAATAAAATAAGTAAATAAATAATGCGCTGTATATATATATACATAGAATATGCCATACAAAATAATACACATAATTAGGAGCAGAATGTGAAATATAGAATCATACAAATGCAGGATCAAGTTGTGAGAATCATTGAAATGTACATACTTAATGTGCTTTACAAATTCAGACATTATGTGCCTTCGGAGTGTAATATCATTCATACAAACGTAAGCATTCTGGAACAACAAAAACCAATAAAGGTGTACCCTCATATTTGCTATAATACACTACACTGGTACAGAATTCCTTATGAAATATTTTACTTTTACATTTCAGAAACGCAAAATTTGACAGAATTTATACTGAGTGACTATTGAACGGCTACATTAAGACTGTGGTAAACTAATTAGCAAAGTAAACATATTGTTTTTCATGGGGTGGTGCATAAGATACAGTACAATGATCATTTCATTAGCGTCCGTATTAGATTATTCCGTTATTACAGATTGCATAAGATACAGTACATAAGATACAGACAATGATCATTTCATTAGATCAGTCCGTTTTAGAATATCACTAAAATTATAAATGTAGCATTAAACCGAGTTACCACGAAGATTTGTACTTGCATCAATGCATTATGCCTATGAATGCTACACCTGGCACAGGTCTATTCCAAAGACCTTTAACCTTTTCCATAACCTTGTTAATTTATTAATCAAGTGCCTCTGCTTGATTAGAATTTGCAAAAGGCTTGACGATTTGCGAAGGGAATCTGATATGTAAGCCTTCTGTAAGAGGCATTTTTCAAGGTAATTGCTCCGGAGAGCCTAACTCTCCGCAGGTGCAAAAAGCTGAATCGCTTATTTTAATCTCTCAAAATAAAGGAAAAAGGGCCATGCCCTGAAATATAACGTGTCAGATGGGGATTTCACACATCTATCTTGTGTAATAAGGAATATTAATAATCGACGACCAGTGGTATAATCCCATTCTCTGCCCTTACTGATTGCTTTGAGACGTAATGCAGATTTCAAATGTGAATGCGGCCAAGGTAGGAATGCCTTCGTGCATGAGGTGCAGAATTACAAATCTTTTCGCTTACCCCCGGCTCCTTAATGAGAAAATGTCCAGCCACTGGAAGGGGTTAAGTTATCTTAAACGTAATATTTTCACCTAAGTAATTTATTCGCTCAATATTTCATTCTGATCTAAAAGAAAATCGCTCAGATCTGTGTAATGGTTAACTTTGCTGCCTTCCGTAGCCTAAATTCCCAGGTTCAGATCCCGAAGGTGCGGTTAAGACTGCTGAATCCTACGAGCTCAACCCGGGTTTGACACCAGCTAAACAGGTTGGATTTCATGGTTTTCACCATATATAACGTGAACAGAGAAATTTTAGCTTGATAAGTTCTCCACGAAGTCATTCGTCTACGCAGATAGTCTACATGTGTTTTCCATATTCGAATAATGCTATCTCATGTAATCGAATTCGAGAAGGCTTGAATATTTTAAATGTACAGTCTCTTTGCGGCTGAGAGCACTTAAAATACACGTCGAGCAGGATATTCCCTCGAGTAGAAGGTCAAAAGACCCTTGGATCTGTTCACCTAGGGATTCTCCTACAAAATTTGAATGAACCTCGCCGACGTCATACTTTCACCCAACAGGTACCCAAATATCATGCCAACGACAGATGCAATCCTGCGTTTCTGCCCACAAAATGTTTTGACTTGCTCTAGCGTTATTGTCAAATAAATGAGTTTAAGTCACAAAAACAAAGAATACTGAGAAAACGGTGAGATTACTAATACTACATAAGGCTGCAAATGATAACAACGTTGCGGATGTGTCAGGAAGTTTCTGCCAATAGAAGAATGTCTGACCACAAAATAATTCCAACATTCTGAAATACAGTCAACATTCTGAAAATGGTTCCTTTGAAGTTAATTTGGTCGACTAAAAGATATACGACGCTCAGACATGGATATTTATCTTTCACCTTGCGGAAGATAGTACCGACACCCAAAGAGTGCTCTAACGGAGTACACTGCAACCAGACTTCAGACAATGTAATTAATAAATGAGGTAATGATTTTTACACACGAAGGTATTTTCAATGTTGTCAAATCTTCGTGTGTGATTTTCACAGACGAAGTTGTGCCATATGTGGGCAACTACAAATATATATACTTCACGTCCACGTGTGACCCAAGTATAGTTATTTTTCAATGGGAGACCAAATATTGTGAACTAGTTCCTTATCGGCTTATATTTACTACTTATGAGATTCGATGGCAGATGTTATAGCATTTTTCTGAAAGAACCTTTTCCAGATTTGCTTCAGGATGTTTCGGTCAGCGTTCGTAAAATGCGAATTCATTTTAGCAGTCATGTGCGCAATTACTTGGAGGACATCTAATGGAATTGTCGCGGGGGCCAGTTGGTTTACCACCTCGAAAGAACGATTTATTAAAACTTGAGTACTTCTCATGCTGACATTTTTAAATCTGAGTTTTCAAAATGATTCTGGTGAGGATTTCATAGGCTCGAATATATTGTATAGATATGTGCGCAAACATAGCTGACTCCTTGAATCTGTAAGTCAGTTACTCCATTCATACTTCGAAGCATATATTAGTGTCGGAGGACAATTTTTGAAAAGTGACTGGTAGAGCACGTGAGCTTGTGAATTGAGTGGTATAGCACATCTGAGTACTTCTTGTAAACTGTGAGGCAGAAGACATTACAACACTTGAAAACCTTATCACTGCACAAAGGAATACTTGGCAACGGTGCTATAACAAACCAGTGTGTTTCCTTTCATGTCTCATTGCCCTTGTTTGTGCCTCAGTGCAATTCTTTCATCCATGCCTTGCTATACAAAAATGTTTGCTGTAATCTGCTGTATCACCTCTTAAAGTTTGTCCCGTGAGTTCTGATTCGCCATATATAAAAATAACATTTAGCTTTTCTGATATTTTTCAGTGTTATTTCTTTGTACCTAACTTTACGTCTTATCTTTCTTGCAATAACAAAGAGCAGTTGAATTTATTTTTTTATCCAAATTTAAATATGTCCCAAAATTATTTAGCTTTCAAGTTGACTATTTACTAATGACTGCATATAAAAATTTGTTTCTGCTTGGAATAACATTTCCATTTAAAATTAGGGTAATAAAAATGTGAGAATTTAGCTTCAACATTCTCATGATAATGTTTTTTTTTTTTTTTTTTTTTTTTTTTTTTTTCAGGTGATATGAAGTGTTTTTCAGAGAGCTATGCAGAATGGATAAAATAAAGGGATGCGATACTTGGGTGGGCATCGCTTATGCTAGTCTGAAAGGTGAGCTCGAAATATGAATTATCATAATTTTCAGCATATTGTAATATGATAAAGGAGCGATTTACAGACTTTTTGAGTGTATATCTATAGCTGAAGTATATTATAGTTAATTCTAGCTTAACGGAATATATGGCAAATTTATTAACAGCTGGAATTTGAATTCTGTATTTACTTTCATACGCCGTTTTTTCACCCTAATTTGACGATGGGGAAAAGTCGAGAGGTTAAACTTTCAGAAAATAAGCAGCTTTGAAGAGAGTGAAAGAGAAAACGTTTATAAATAAAAAGTTATATGAATTAGATGTACTAACATTACTATTAATTATTATCATCAAAAATATTTTTATTACGCTCATTGCCATAAAACTTTCTGTGCCAAGATGTAATGTCGTATTCTAAAAAAACTTGGCATGAAAGTACCTGTCTAATACATACGTAAATGATTAGTAATGTAAAGTGATTGTATATTGTATAATGTCGGTTGGCATGAACTTGATGATGAGAGCGTTGAACTTCGTTCTAACAATCGCATAAGAAAGGTTACACTAAGGTATTTTGCATGTACTTAATGCATTGCAAAAGTACGCTTTTTCCTTAAGCATGTCATTATATTATAATGAACAATAATATTATCAGTTGTCAAGAATTCGAAAGGGGAATAATCATCAGGATAATGGGTGTCGAGTGGTCATTTCAGAGTGTACCGCGCCTTCTATCGCGGGCTAGACTGTTTAGACCTTTCGAGAGGAGGTGCTGGAACCAGTAGACGAGAGAGAGATCGCATACACCTCGGCCAGGCTCAAGACTACCTCAGCGAACCTTTGCCAAAGAGTACCTTTACGTTACCCGACACGAATAAACAGCACTGGTGGCATTATTTTACGCCATCCGAACACATGCAGCGCTTTCATTACCGACCCTTGTGTCACAAAGCGTCTTGCTGAAGAATATTTCGTATATCGTAGCTTGCTGCGTGTGTGCTACAGTCGTCTCCATATGGAAGGTATCGCGATATCATCGGGATTCGAGCTCAACCGAATGGAACCAGGTTGTCCTCTGCGGCGAATCGAGATTCAATCTGGACAGTGTACATCTTTGGAGACCACGTAGAAAATGTCTCAATTCTGCCTCCGCTGTACAGAGACACATCTCTTCTACAGCTTGTATGATTGATTGTACAGTCTGAAGTTGCATACAACACCTGGCCCAGCAATACGTTCATAACATACATTAGTCATATTTGTTACCATTCATGGCAAGGCTCCGAGGAGGTCTTTGTCAACAGCACATTGCTCGGCCACACACACTAGGGTTGTGACAGGAATGCCTCCATCACATTATCCCCCTTTTCTGACGTGCTCAAACTCCAGACTTATCACCCATCTAACATGTTTGGACAACTTAGGAGTAATGCCATCTTAACGCATGGGCCCGCTGACTATTTGGCTAGAGTTCCCATGAGCATAGACGTAGTTTTTCTAGAGACCTCGGCATATTGCCGAGGGACTCATAATGTTGTTAGTACGGCACTACCTAGAAGTTCTGATAGAACTAGAGACTCACTTACAGCAACTGTGAAATGAGATGACGCAATTAGCCGTATCGAACCTGCATGCCTGAATGCCCACCCATATCCTATTGTGTATTCACTCTAAAAGTGGCCCACAATGATACCAGAAAACTCCGTTCTTTAATATTTTTTCCTGTCATAATTCCCTGTTCTTTAATAGTTTTTCCTGTAATATCCTTTTGTTTTGGTTTTGTAATCATTTACATCAAAGTTTCACTCATACACCTATATGTATAATATTTGTTCGATTCCGACAACGCTTTCTTGGATCACAAATTTTTGTGGCAATGCTTGTGTTATTCTTTACCTGAAATATTATATAATTTCATTTCTCATGATCAACACCTTGATACTTCCTGATTTGGGGTTCTTAAAAGACTTCTTTCTCCCTTCTGCCTTGCAAATTAATATTATCGTTTCCTTCAATTTCTAATCAGACCTGATTCAGCCGCAAATTGTATTCTCGTAGATTTCACACAAACTGTCCACGTATTTTTTTAAACTTAAAAATAAAATTTACACTTTAACTGCAATTATACTGTGTCACATGAAATGCCAGAGCTATTTTCATAGAAAGAGAAAGTGTACGGATTGCCTTAAATGCTGTTTTGAAAATTTCCTAAAATTCCCTTAAGAGCCGACAATATCGAAGTAGAAATAAGTCTATAATGAGAGTCTATAGCACTTTTTAACTATATAACAGCCGGAGATGTACCATTAGGCAAAGAGTACATCTCCGGCTACATTGCAAGAACCTGGTACAATGATGTAACATTTGATTCTTGCAATTGTTTTACAATTTAAGACGAAGGGAAGATCATCACTCCCATAGAATGCATCTTTACTTTCTTTTTATGGAACACATGTTGAAACCTGAATTTCGAGATGATACTGTTTGCAATTTTTATGTCTACACAGCTCCCCGAGTTCACTTGGAGACTCCCTATTTCTTTTCCCTTCACGTGGTAAGAAAAATGTCCAGAACTCTATAGGTCTGTCTTGTATTTCGAAGTCTGAATCGACGTCCTTGAAATGCCTGTGCAGTGTTAAAAGTTATCATATCTATTTGTTGTAAAATGTAAATTTTAAAGCTTCGAATCCGTTTTAAAAGTAAACAAACAGCAAACACTGACAGTAACACACAAGTGACTGAGCTAATTGTGTTCACATTGTTTGAAATATTGCAGGAAGTACAGATATGTAAAAGGAGGAATTACTTACGGTTTTTTTTATTTGGAATTAAAAGGTTTGAATCTGAATGTTAGGGTGTTGGAGCACTTATGTAACTGCGAATTTACGGAAATCAAGTATTACGTAAGTCGAAGGATTGCTAAGTTCAAAAATTTTAAATCATTAACTAAGAAACAAAGGGGAGGGAAATGCGAGTAATTTCTTCATATGCTGTATAGATTAGATTAAGATTTCCTTAGCTTCCTCTCCATTAGCTTAAGACATAATTTCTCTTCTTGCTTTAGTTCCTAATTACAAAATTTAAATTTAATGGATCCAAGGGCAGAATGGCCATTTAAGTAAAGATCAAACAGATGACTTATTTAAAGAAGCACCTCTTAATCAAGATGGTATTGAAATCATCATTCCGTGGCTTTGTTCAGATTTCAAATACCAACTAAAATAACTTGCTTCAAAATATTTGCAAGACCTGTGAAATAATGCTTCACAGGAAGATGCACATATAATCTGTTTCTCATTGTAAGCTTCACATTTCTGTACTCGAACTCTTCATTAAATTACTATATAATAGGACACAGACCATTCCCCATACATTTCTTCACAATAAACATGGTAAATTCCTGCATCTGAATACGTGGGGAATATGGAACTCTGATGATTACCCTTACTCCTGCCCCTTAACATAATAAGATAATCCCCACAAACTTATTTTTTGGAATTCCAAAGGCCATTTTTGTTACATCAAAACAAATGTTCTCAATTTAATTTGTTAATTTCGCATTTCATTGAAATTGTATTATAATATCATTTTGCCCTAAATCATTATTTTTAATAAAACCTCAATGCGAGATGTAGGGTGGGATTGCGCGACGTACCGTAAAAGGTAAACTGTAGATCCTTTGGAACGCTTAAAAAGCTCATTTCCACAGCTTAATTTAGCATTTTCTTTGTGAACTCTGATAAAGCTTGTATTTTTTTAGAGTTACTTAATGTGAGATTCATTACCAGTTGACCTATGGTACATCGATGGTGTCCCCCATATTTTTACTTACTGTATTTCTCATTTGCCAGCTTTTATTGCCATAACTGGTGCAAGTATAATATTAAATGTATGAAATTATTGTAATATCTAATGTCCTTTACATAATATATAATACTATTTATCCTGCTGAAATAAAAATTGCTCTTTGTTTCAGATGGTAATTTTGCTGCCCATCCTGTCAGTTTTCATTTGGTTTCTCTTCTGCGCTACAGGAAACGAAATCTGCAGTTTCAACCGCTTGTGCACATGTCGGAAATCTCATCACGAAGTCATATGTAGAGGTGTTCCTTTCGCCAAATTTCCATTGTTACCCTTAGAAGGAATTTATCAGGTATGAATTATTAGATATCTTTGAAAAATATAGAAGCATTAATCTGATTATCTTTCATTCGCTTGAATCCAGGTACAGTAATTTTTATGACAATTTCTTATCAAAAGGTCTAGGAAGCCACGAGGGCAACGTTCAGGATTTCAATGGCTTTCTTCACTAAAGCCCGAGACACCAGATATCTTTTCCTCTTGTTTGTTAAATATCGTACAGTCACAAAACATATCTTGGTTCAGGAAACTGGTTGCCTTTCACAATACAAAATAGCCGCATAGATCTGCAACATTATAGATAGTCAGCCAAGGTGACTACTGCTTGGGCTTCCCGCTCCAACAGGAGACGAATCTTAAGATTCTTTGAATACTGGTAGTTAAAGCTAGGTGAACGGATTGACTGTCTGGTTTTCGTGGTCTTTTCCATGTGTAATTTGAGTATGAGTCAGTTTCCTTTATAATGGCGTTGAATAAGGCCCCCATTTAAGCAGCAATGAGTTAGGCTTCGTCCTGCAGTTAATGGGCAGTACTGAGATGGCAAACAGGGTTTCAAAGACACGTATAGTATAATTATCTTCGTTATATGACGGTATTTTTCTTGCCAGCAGCAAATGTTTGAAAATTATCCTTAGCTGAGAATTTTGAGCTTCCGTGCACTTGTGTTTGGTGTACTGATCTTACACGCTAAATTAGTCACGTTGTTTAACTTCCCGTTATATTTTCCGTCCTGTGATTCGTTATGGTTTAAAACGACATTAGATGAACTATTGCTCTGCGATCCCCCTGAAATCGAGTGGATTTATTGACAGACACGCTGCAGATCGCTAAGGTTCTCTAAGAACTCTAATGAAGTTGTGACTTTTGTAAGGTCAAATGTAGATATTACTGGATGATTTATTACTTAAGCTATTGCTTAATTATTATTAGTGTTAGAGCATCCTGCCTCATATCTCTTATTGACTCGACTGTTGGACCTCGACCTTTGCACCGTGACTTGTGTGCAAAAGAAAAATGAACATTCTTATCTTCATGTAAATGGCCACAGATGAACTGATGGCCTGACGTCTTCTTTTCGGACGAATGCTGCTTTTGCTTAAAGCATCATGCTGACCGTGTTTGATTGTGAAAGCCGGAGAGACATAACACTGGAAGCATTCATTCTTCATTGTCATACTCATCCAGCACGTGGTATCGGGTTAGCACATCCAGTACTTAGGGCAGTCACAATTACATAACTAATATTTTAATGCTCGTAGCTATGTTGTAACTTCAATGGCTCGATCACCACACCTTTAGACAGGATAGTTCAAGATCATCCAATTTAGCTGTTTTTGCATCAAAGTGTTTTGTCCAGCATCAAAAAGTGTTCAGTCGACCATAAGTGTAACTATCTCCTTACGAATCAATTTTATCATTAATATCTACGTCATGATCAAGACTTATTTTATCACATATAATATAATATCAGTTTCCTTGGCGTTTTATGGTTATTCACACCTCTACGAAACGTTTCCAACCAAAGCCGACTTTGTGGATTCGCAAGAAACATTTGATTTATTTTACGGCTATTCTGTTCATAAATAATGCCAAAAAGAAGCACTGCGTGAAAAACAAGGAATTTTAAAAGATCAGCAAAAAGCTATATAGCCGATATTTACATTTTTAGCGTATATTGTTCAGAGAAATGACGGTTTAATATAAGGTGTATAAATCTACATGTACGCAAATACGTGTATCGCCTGTATTAATTATTGTGGCTTGCCATTGTCCAAAATTACCTGAAATAAAGCAATTCTATTGTCAGCCCAAATACGGGATACGGATAATGACAATCTACCATTTCTTTTATATCTTAGCTTTATCTTTATAACAGTTAATTTTTTTGTTCTCTTGACTGAGGGGAAAAGTTTAGAAAAATTAATTTATGTACATTATTCTTATCATCATTCCTAATGCCTTTTTGACTAACATAAGCACCGTATGACCGTGAACACTATGCTTCATATTAAGGAAATATAAAATCGCGAGTTTTGATATCAGAAGTGCTTAATCAGTAGAATTTGCTATTAGGGGAAAATTGTTATTTAGAATTTAATGTTTAATCTCTTAATACCATTAAAATTACCTTTCCATTTCAGGTGACTGTGATACGTTCAGGAATAGAAGCTCTAGAAAATAATTTTTTAGCGGGTTCCAATATCGCCTCATTGCACCTTATGCAAAATAATATCATCCATATACCTCCAAGAGCCTTCAGTGGATTAGAAGATATAATCACTACACTGGATTTAAGTCAAAATAGGCTTCAAGACTTTCCACTGCCTGCTCTTCGCCCCTTGAACAATCTTCAATGGTTGAATTTGCATGGTAATCACATAGACGACATCCACAGCTGGAAATGGTCCCAGCTGAATTGCAGACCTGTTCTGAACAGTTTGTTTCTTGGATCTAACCACATCACAAGTATACCTGAAGGTTCTTTTGCCAAGCTAGCAAGTTTAAATCTCTTGGATCTTGAAGGAAATATCATACACGACATCGGTAGTCATTCTTTGCCAACTTCCCTGAGATCGCTCTCGCTTTCCAACAATATCCTAAAAAAAGTGCCTCTCCACGCAATTTATACTCTTAAAAACTTGAGATTCTTGTACCTATCGGGAAATCTTTTTCGTAGGCTTCCATGCCCATTTCACCTTCACGCAACGTTGATAGAAAAAATGGAAATCAGCAATAACATGTTAGTTCAAGTACCCGAATGCGTTTTCAATGGTTCGTTTACTATAAAAGAACTGCACTTGGATTTTAATTTCTTACGAACGTTATCAGCAAGAAGTTTTAAAAACACACGGCTGGAACGCTTAGTGCTAGCAAACAACCGAATAACTGCTATTCATTCTGATGCCTTTGTAGGTATAGAGACAACCCTCAAGACACTAGATTTGAGTTTCAATCTGATGGAACACTTTCCATCGGCGGTTAACGATCTCAAATCTTTATTGTACTTATCTCTCAAAGGAAATCTCATATCTGAGCTAGAAAGAGGTGATCTACATGGATGTAGAACTACACTTGAGATGTTAGATTTATCTGGAAATGTTTTCCAGAATGTTCCTAAGAATACACTTAGGCACTTGACGAAACTTGTACGCCTCAGCCTTCAGGATAACAGAATACAAAAAGTTTACCGTGATGACTTTGAAGGTTGGGGTAAAACTTTAACAACCTTAAGTTTAGCAAATAATAGAATGACTTACTTGTCAGGTGGAACGTTTACTTATCTACCGAAACTCAAAGAATTAAAGCTTTCCTTTAACAACTTAATGTATTTAGATGCAAATGTGTTCATTCCACTTGCCAAAACTCTGGAAGTTCTTGACTTGAGTTCTACGTTTTCGAAATACAATCATCCAATAGAAATATTTTTGCGAAATTTAGAACGATTGGAATGGCTCCAGTTGGATCATAATAATATATCTAAAATGTCAGAGTTGTGTTTTAAATCTTTAACCAAGCTGCGTCACTTAGATATTAGCAGCAATGACTTAGTAGATGTGCCATACAATTTATTCCTAGCTCCGAAGCATATGTACCTCAGTGCCATCCACATTAGCAACAATGAGCTAAGAATTATAAATAGTGCAATGTTCGACAGTGTTCAGCATGTGACGACTATTGTTTTATTTGGTAACAAAATTTCGGAAGTAGAGAGCTATGCCTTTGCTCATTGTTCATATTTAAACACTGTGGTTCTTTCAAAAAATCATTTGACATCCATTGCTCCTTCAGCTTTCTGTAACCTTACGAGGCTCTCTAACATTTTCTTACAAGATAATTTACTTGAATCGTTTTCCCTCGATATAATTGATGGTGATACATCTCCGTTATATATCAATTTGTCTAATAATGCACTGAGAGAACTAAATGGAAATAATAACTCTATGTTGTTTTCCGTAAAGGTTAGGACACTGGACCTCACAAACAATCAAATATCTGTGATACCAGATAATTTTATTGTAGCATTGTCGAAATATCTTTTATATTTATTTTTATCAAAAAATCAAATCTCAGATATCAAATTTCCGTCACTGCCGGTATTACAAGTGTTAGATTTATCCTATAACAGGCTCTCTAATTTAACATCTGACAATTTCGTGTGCTGTCCTAATATCCAATTGTTGATGCTTAACCACAACTGCATATCAAGCATTTCTGTAGGAGTACTAGGAGCTATGAAATATTTGCGTATTCTCGACTTGAGCAACAACAAATTAAGCTCTCTTCCCCAAAATATATTTTCTAATACAAAATTAGAAAAATTAAATTTGTCACGGAATAACTTCGCTCAACCTTCTCTAGAAAGTCTCACAGCTGTTCGAGAAACATTGAAACATCTCGATTTATCGTTAAATGAAATTGAAAATATATCTTCTGAAACTTTCTCGAGTCTTACTAAACTTCAAGCCTTAAATCTGTCTTCCAACCACATATCTTTTCTCCACGAACAGAGCTTCCAAGCTATGAGTCACTTGTTGGAGTTAGATCTTTCTCATAATCCCCTGCAAAAAATTTTAAATGAGATGCCTTGGGGCTCTTTAGGAGCTTTAAGGGCACTGCACATACGAAATACAAGTTTAGTTTCCATCTCGACATTACCGCTTCCTCAAATAACTACTCTAACTCTTAAAGACAACTTCCTGTGCAACATATCACAAGGTGTGTTTGAAAAATCGCAACATCTGCGGTATCTTGACTTATCTAGCACATTACTACAAGATGTTCCTCTCCATTTGTGGCAGCAGACTAAACGATTAGTCTTCCTGGACATATCCAATAATCCAATTGAAGTATTAGAGGTGAACAGCTTCTCCGGCCTTGAAAGACTTCAGCAGCTTGATATCAGCGGATTGCGACTAAAGAGACTCGACACAAGAACTCTTCATGGCTTAAGGTAAGCTTCATCTTTTTGAAACTACTCAGACCTTCATTCTGAGAGGTAAAACAAAATTGTCCAAACAAACGAAAAGAAAGTTTCCTTTTATTCTTGATATTTAACTGAATGCTTTTTTTTTTGTTTTTGTTTTTGTTTGTTTGTTTAATAGCACTAAAGAGCAAAAATCATATAATATGAAAATTATCTACGTAATCTGCAGATTATCTAGATTCATTCGCTAAAATGACAAAATTGTTTCATTTCTCATATTACATAGTTAAACTGCAGATATTAGATAATATGTACACTGCGAAAAAAAAAGGAACAATTCTATTTCTCCCGTTCTAATGGGCCAATTGAACTTGGGTTTTTCATGCCTCGAAAGCGCGACTTAAGATAGATATGTATTAGATTTATATACAGCATTGTTCTAATGTAGGTATTTTAGCGCAAAATCGAACTTTTCTGAAATGTGAAATGACATGCCAGTTTCTTTTTTTTTTTTTTTTTTTTTTTCTATTCTATTATGCTAAACTGCCAAGTTTCGTTAAAATCACTTGAGTACTTTTTAAAAATATACCTCTCAAAATTTTAGCTTCTCCAAGTTAAATGAATTTGGTATATATTTATTAATGTCTCTTTTTTTATTAAACTTATTTAATTCTTCATTTCACATTTCGAAATTTAAGTTCACTCCAAATCAAATTCGCCCATACTTTTATCATTTATTTTTAAAATTTGAAATTTTAAGCAATTTTTATAAATTTTTAAAGTTATAAACTGTGAAATTTTTACCATCATCTTAAAATAGATGTATTTCTAAGCATACCTGCAAAAAATTATAGTTTATTATTCATAATTTCCTAAGATATAAGTGAATTTACATTTTGGCGCGTTTTGAAAGTGATTTATGCACTTTGTTAAAATTATTTGAAAGAATGAAAGATAGACCTTTTTTTCCGCTCGCGCACCAATGAAAAAAAATGTAGTAATAGTAAATAGGTTACATTAAATTAAGAAGTTCACCGAAGCGAATTATTCTTGGCGCAAACTGAAAAAAAAAAAATCACCAAGATACATTTTTTTCAATTTCTCCTTAAATTTCGCAGCAAATTTTACAAAATTTAATATTTAGGCATAATTTGAGTAGAATTGAAATACGGAAAAACAGTGCCATGTCCTTTCAGAAAAGAATCCGTTTTGGGGTAAAATCGGCGCATTAGAATCGGAGATATAGAGCTCTTTCTTTTAGCAGTGTACATTACCAACCTCAGACTGAGAATAAAATCTTACTCAAAAAGAGTAACGTTTTTGTATGTCTAAATTAACACCCCAAAAAAATTGTGGAGTTATTAAGTTCCTTGAATAAAAAAAACATGAAAAACAATCTGTGCTGTCATCGGCATTTGAACTCCGGGCATTCTGACTGCTATTCCGACGTGCTTCCAATCACATCACAAAGGCACCTCGGAAAGGAGGAAGGCAGTAACAAAAATGCACTATACGTTTATTCAGTAAAGTAATTTTTTATAGTAATCAATAAATTGTAAATAAAATGGTCTATCAATTGCTGAAAATAATAATATTTGTTTAATGATTAATTTGTTGTAATATTGAGTTAATTACAAATAAAATATCCTCACATTTGCAAAAACATAGCTATTTATTTAGTTTTTTATACCTAAAGAATCAAGCTTATAGAATCAATGAGTCGACAAAATAACTGATAGAATCAACCAAAGAACAAAACAGAGTACAAAGAATCAAATAAACGGCTTAAAAATATTATTAAAATTAAGGAAATAAATTTGCAAAAATGTGATAAAGCTGATTTGTTATTGCACTCTAAGACTTAGTAATACTTTGAACTACAGAACAATTGATTTTTGGGATAAGACACCTGTTTGTGGAATATATAGATCTGCAATCACATGTTGCAGTCTCTGTACAGTGCCAAGGGATTATTTTATTACCTAAGAGAAAGGAAATAAAAGGTTAGGTTAGGTTATTTGATTATGCGGACTCATGCTGATGTTGACGGGGAAAAGATAATTTTTAAAAAGCACTGTTCGGAGGAGAGATCAGTCCCACCAGTGCCAGCGGCTTCAATGCGTAGATATGAGCTGTTGAGTCCGTTGTTGCACTGTGAGGTGCAGCATATGTGCCGTAATTCCTCATTTGTTCCCTGGAGAGTAGAGATGCATGTTCTCGTCACATTCGAAGTCAACCACTGTAGCGGTCCTGAATCGTTAAGCGAATTTACACTGGGGTTTACGTGAGCTAATGGAGTTCGTTTAATATGTCGATTAGCTCCCTTATACGTTTAGATTTTTCAACTCTCTCCGCTATCAGGAAAACCTGGTTTAGCTTTGCCAGATGTCCCCCTTAGCTTAGATAAAGCACGGTGCGAGTGGCAATTTTAGGCTAGTTCCGGGTCACCAGCGCGCAGTCCAGAACCGTGATGCTCCGTTGGTTGGTTGGGTTCTCGGTCTATTGCCACTTTTTCTTATAGCCCTCTATTAGCATAAATGAGAAGTTCGAATAAGTTTCTGTCCTTAGCGACCTTGAGGTTCGTTCGCCGATTTATTACGCGGTGATTAAATAATAGCTCCTGTGAGGTCGTGTCAAATAATTGAAAAATTTTTGCTGTACGGGTGTCTGAATGGCTCTCTGGGTCGCTGTAAGTTACTAAACAGTGGTAGGTCGCGAAAACTACCACCTAACCCCGGCAAACAAGCTAGTTACATGATTGGATTTCGTGGGTTTCACCATGCAACTTAAATACGAGTCAATTCTCTTAGAAAGTCCTTTGCTAAGGCATCCCTCCCCTTAAGCAGATGACCCTTATGCGCTTTACCATATTCAAATAATCTAGCCTAACCTAAGGAGCGACTTGTAACCTGAGAACTTAATACGAAGTTTCGAAATTGTTTTTTCAATTTCAGTTAGTCAAAGTACACACAAACTAGAGCTGGCACAAAGCAATTAAAGACGCGTATTTTAAATGTCGGCTAGCAAGAGGCTAAAGCCGGAATAAAACTTTGGCAGAGCTGGCGATAGTAAGTCTCCTTACATTTAGTCATATCCGTTAGACAATGCATATGCATGGATGCGTATATAAACTTATATATGTATATGTACGTATAACGTATGTATGCATATAAACATATATATGTATATGCATATGATTAAAGTGATTACTGTAGAAATGCAGTGCTTAGCTTGTCCCGGTGGCTGTGTTTCATTTGCCCAATAGACTATTTCTCACTTGGCGTACATTTTGAGCTTCAAAAAACTTTTTTTTTTGTTGTTGTTGTGAGCCGCAGATAAGGAGATAGACAGTATTATGCATCCTTTATAATTACTATCCTATGTAAAAATATTTTGATTCGTTTGAATGATGACGAAATTGATGTAAAATGTGTTCTTTAAACTGCAGTTTCATTATATTATTTTTTTTCATGTTTCTTTTATACTGTTATTTATAAATATTAACATTTTAGTTATTTATATTTCTAAAAGAAAATCTCTGGATTATAAAATTACAGTTAGAAGCAACTGATATCCCTTCGCTAGTATTTATATAAATTTCGAGCAGAATTTTCTTCATAGAATTTGTCTAATTTATATTTCTTGGATTTATTAAATTCTCCTTTTAGAAAATAACTGCAGCATAATATCAGTTTTCGCGTTTTTGCTTTCAGAAAAGTTTCCGTATTTCTTCTTATATTCCCAACAATAAACAGAAAGTATTTCAAGGACTTCGGAAGTGTGCTCAAAGAGATGTTAAATAAATCTCAGAAAAAAACTTTACCGAGTGCTTCCGTTCTCTTATTCTTTCTACGATACAGTAACTGTTTATTTTATTTTCTGAGAGAGTTAATACTGTTAATGGACTTTTCTAGCACTTTTACAAAAGTTTCCTATTTTCAGGAGGAAAACCTGTTTTAGTTATTTTATCTCCTCTGTCTCAAATTAAAGCATGACTATCTTAAAGGAAGCTTTATTTTATAGCTTTCGATTCCAATCTCAGCTAAAATTCTTATCTCTTATATCAACACAGATCGATCATTTTCATCTCACAAAGATAGAACAATTTAAGTTTGTTTCTTTAAAACGAACTAATGTACGATTCCATTCAATTTTGATTAATTACATTCCTTAATGATGGACATGGAAGGTTGATATGAGCAGAACTTCTCGTCGGTTTCAGTTAAAACAAAGCACACGTTTGCAATAGATGCACTGTTGTTGTTACTTATGCTCACTTGTCTGACATAGCCAGCCCAAGCCCACGAAATTCCTCATGGTAAGAAGTGCCAAGATAAGGACGCCTGTCGTTGGCAACAGGCTTGAGCACCTTACATGTTTATGGAGAACACCTCGGTGGGGGATGGGTTCGAGGGTCTCCCAACCCTTTCCCCTTCCACCAAACCAGAGGAGAGGACTTTCGGCTCGTCGCATATTTGGAGTGCCCCATGACCCACCGACACTATACATTTACACATTTACATGCATTCATATCTTCTCCGGGATTCGAACTTGGGCCCTTTCGCACAGTAGTCAGCGACGCTAACCACTATACTGTATGGCCGGCAATAGATATACTTCTTGAATGTATCAAGCTTAAATACAACTCCACAGGAAGTTTACCAAATATTTACATTTAGGATTGACTGCATGGATCTGAAATATGCTGTGAAAGCTTTCAGCTTGATTCGAGGAATTCATTATTCTCTGTGTTACTGAATATTCCAAATACGGAAACCATCACCTTCTTGTATGCCGAAGTATTAAACGAATTAAGCATTAAATGGCTACTGCTAATTTGAATTATAATTTATATTTGCATATTTTTATCTTTCTTTCATACAGCTTTTCTAATTATTTACTGCAATGTTTTTAAAATGGGACTGAAAATTTCATTAGAATCTAAAATTTCAGAAATGCTATATTCAAAATTTTCTGATTTTATTTCAAAATTATGTTTTTCTTGTTTTAGTAACTCTGTAATATTT